AATAAATGCATCCAGAATGATACACACTTAGGAAGCATCATCTTACCACTGAGGGTTAGGGTTTTTAAAATAATGTGGCCTATAAGTTCCAAACTATATATGAGCTAAAGCAGGGGTCGACAAACTATAGCCCAGATACTTTTTTTTGTAAATAAAGTTTTATTGGAATGCAGCCAGGCCCATCTGTTTATGTATTGTCTATGGCTGCTTTAGAGCTATAAGTTACAATGACCAGGTGGTCTGTAAATGCATACCCTTTAAAAAAAGTGTTTCTTAACTTCTGAATTAGAAGATACTGTTACACTTAAAGTATCTTTTTTACTCCAAAAACTTACGGGTTAAGATATTTAAGGCATAAAAAGGAAACCACATTCAACTGAGATAATTACAATTCTAAATGACACATGATTACAGTTTATTCTTGCTTTGATAAAAACAGGCATTGAGCCTGGCCTTTGTACAGACTGCTGTGCTTGTCAGTGGCCACTTCTCTATCAGGGATATGTTTTACACACTCACATCAGTTTCTTCTTTTTCACACTCTCATTCCTCTGCAGATGCTAAAATTTCCAGGATGTTTCCTGAGCCTCTATCAAACTGCCTCCTTTTCCTTCCTTCCTTTCCACTTTTACCATGCTTCTCAAGTACTCTGGATCTGGTGAAAGTACCAGGAGTTTGATCACCCCCTTTCCATCCTGTATGTTATTATTTACCAATTCTTTGGTAGCAGCTTATTTTTTAAACTTCAGTGCTTTTTGTTTTGTATTTTAACATTTCCTTAGTGTTATTCACATACTAATTTATAGCTTATTATTCCTTCTCATAGCTCTGTCTCTTTCTTTGGGTTTAATATGCTTCTTCCTGAAGAGTGTCCAACTTATCACTCTACCTGTTGCTTGGGGGTACTGGGCACTTCTGGGCTTGGAGCAGCGTGGATCAGCTCTTACCTTTTGCAACAATACTCTCTTGCTCATATTTGGGAATGTTTTCTTCTTTGGCCTTATCCCGTCTGCTTTCTGTCTTTTAAGGATTTCTTATACTGTAGTTTCTGGTCTAATGGAACCCGTTCTTATGGCCCAAAGCAGATATTGATCCATTCACTTTTAAAACATCTTTTCTGTCAATGGGGGCAAAAAGAGCAAACCACAGCATGTGCTCAGACCTCAGTCTTGAAATTAAAGCCCCATATCTGTTAAGCTCTGCATTTTCTTTCCTCATTTATCCCAGCTCACCAATTAAAATGAGGCCACATGCCTTTTATCAGCAGATATGTACATGTTCCACTTCTCATACTGTCCTGACAGTAATTCTGAAAAGCAATTTCAAGTAGTAGAAAAAAACTCAGGCTGCTGAATCATATATCTTGGAACAAGTCTTGATTCTATTACTCTCTATTTTACTTTCAAACAGTTAGACCTCCCTGAACAAATGGTTTCCTATCTATAAAATGGAGGTAATAATACCTATTCATTTAGGTTGATAATACATTATAAATGATATAGCATATCACATAAAGTTTGATTTCAAATATTCTAGCAATCTTCTTTGATTTTGTAATTTTTTCCCCCATTAGTTGTGATCATACTGAGTTTTGAAATTTCTGTTTATTACTTTGCCTTTTTTTCTTACGCATGTCAATAAATCTGGAAAATATCTTAAACTAAGTCTTTTAAAATAAATTAATAATAGTGCATAAGGATTCTACTTTTGATAAAAAGGAGAACGAATCAGACCGAGTACAAACATTGATTGTAACTTTTAAAAGATGTACCAGAACAGCCCTACTGTAACAATTAAGGAGTTCTGAAAGAGCATTGTCAATTAAAAAAAAAAATCTGGCTGACAAAACTACAGGGTATCCATTAAATAAGTTTATACAACAATAAAATCAAGGTAATTAATTTAGAAAAAGCAGAACTAAAATTTACTGCTTTCAAAAAGATAAAACTGTCATATAAAACAAGTAATAGCTCTACGTAGTACAGCTGGTATGCCATCAATATAGCTATCTCTGAATGTCACTTATTTGACTATAACAATCAAGGACTGGACACAAATAAAAGAACAATACGGGCACAAGTAAAAGAAAAAACAAACTAAGCTCAATTCACAATCAATCTAGCAACACAGTACATATTTGTAAAGACCCTTCTGTGATAACATTATTAGGGTCTAATGTACCTGCAAATTAAGTCAACTTTTCAGGAATGAATTTAACTGAGGTAACAATGGAAAAGGTCTCAATAACTTCAAGCATCATTTTTGAGAGTATCAGGAATACAAAACAATGGTATGGGCCTTCTCTAGTCTAACAATGATTATCTCTTGTTTTGTTTTTCCTAGGTCAGAGATGTCTAACCGGAGGAAAAACTGTTTTGATCGATAGTTTGAGATATGGCTAACAGAAAAGAGTATAATTAAGGCAGCTCACTTAGTAAATGATCAGAGACCTAAGCTCAAAAGGAACCCAGGGAGGTTTTTACTTTCAGAGAACAAAACCCTTGACTGAGTGGAAAAGATTAGGGAAAGGGGGAAGAAAGGTAAGGAGGAAGTCATTCATTACTTTTACTATACACTTAGCTGGCTTATAAACTGAAGCCAAGGGAATTAAGTCAACAATGAGGAAGAGAGCTGAGAGACAGGCAGAAAGAAGTTAGATTCTAGTCATGTGGCTTAAGCCCAGGGTCAGGATGCCTCAACTCTACAGTTAAATGAGTAAATAAGCTTTTTTTTTTTTTTTGAGTATTTTATATTTTATTATAGTTTGTGTGATATACATTCTTTTTTTTTTTTTTTCACTAATCAGTATTTTTTATTATGGTTTTGTGGGGTACAGTTAAGGGTTAGGTGTACAATGACGTTTCATTCGGGCACCCTGTAGATAAAAAGTGTTTTCCCATTCCCCGACAGATGTTTGCTACTGTTAATCCCATCCCCCTCCCCCCAATACTTTCCCAGTACCGTCAGTCATTTTCTTATACTATTACCTTGGATGTTCAAGGTCCATTATATGAATGAGAACATGTGATACTCGGATCTTTGTTTCTGTGAGAGGTCACTCAGTATTATAGACTCTAGTTCCATCCAGGTTGCTGCGAAATTCATGATTTTGTTCTTTTTTATGGTTGCATAGTACTCCATCGTGTATATGTACCACATTTTTTAATCCAGTCCTCTTTTGATGGGCAGCATGGTTGTTTCCAGGTTCTTGCTATTGTGAACAACAATGCAATAAACATACGTGTGCAGGTATCCTTTTTATAGAGTGATTTGAGTTCTTCAGGGTATATTCCCAGTAGGGGGATTTGCAGGATCATATGGAAGGTCAATTTTTAGAGCTTTTAGAATTGCCACACTGCTTTCCACAGAGGTTGCACTAGTTTACACTCCCACCAACAGTGTAGAAGTGTTCCCTTTTTCACCACACTCTCTCCA